ATTTAAATCTCCAAATTGAACTATTTTGTTTACTTGATAAATCTTCCTAGAAAACAGTGAGTAACTTGGGCCAAATTGCATGAAAATACGTGTCTTTATATAATGTGCTCGAAAACTATAAAAAAAAAAAAAAGTACGTGATAAGTGTTCCAAGTTAAGAATAAAATATTGATGGTATGTTTTACTGGATCAAATCACTATCTATCTTGCACTAAAAAAATTATATGGTGCTATTGACTTATTCAATTATGCATTACAATTGGATTTTATAATTAATTAGAGGATAATAATGTTTCATAACCAATTTTACTAATTATGTTTGTACTGATCGTGTCGTTGCCTGTTACCCGCATCTAATTCGTAATTTAATGCCAAATTAAGTTTATATTCCCCGAGATTTCAAATATATATAATTTTTTTGTAATGATTTCCATTTTAAGAATTTGGGTCGTTACATGGTGTATTCAAGGAACAAGGAGCAACATGAAGAACAACTCAAGATAGTATCAGAAACATCAAGGAAGGAGAAATTGTATACTAAATTCAAGAAATATGAATTGTGACTGAATCGTACATGTGAATTGTACATGCTCTAACATATGGCATCGCTATCTCTATGGGGGGAAAGTGTGATGTCTATATGGATCATAAGAGCTTGAAGTACTTCGCTCATAAGAAGTTGAATATGAGAGATAGAAGGTGGTTGGAATTGGTTAAGAATTATGACTGTGTTATCTATTACCATCTAGCAAGGTTAATTTAGTCGTCGATGCTATTGGTAGGAAGACAGTGGGATAGTTGGCAGCTCTATCCACAACTCAATGGCAGTTGGTATAGGAATTTGAGAAATTGAAATTTGAAGTTATCTAATTGGTTCGTGATACTGCAAAGATTGCGACATTAAAGATCCAACCTACATTTAGGGATCGAATCAAGGATGTCCAAGACAATGACCTATTCTTGAGAAAGATTAAGGCGTAAGTTGGCACAAGTAAACGAAGGGGTTTTGCTATAGCAGATGATAATGCTTTTATGTTTGAGGGAAGATTATGTGTGTCAAAGGACGAAGGAATAAGCAAAAAGAGATATTAGAGAAAACTCACTCTGCCTCATACTCTACACATCCCAATGGAATGAAAAAGTATTGAGACCTTCACGATACATTTTAGTAGAGAGATACGAAAAGAGAGATTGGTCTCTTTATTGAGAAGTGAATGATATGTCGCAATTTAAAGAATAACATCAGAGATCATCATGGCCATCAAAACCATTGAAAATTCCAAAGTGAAAATGGAAGCAAATCGCTATAGAATTTGTTGTGGGTCTTCCAAAGTCAACAGGGGACACGATACTATCTAGGTAATTATGGACAAATTAACAAAGTCAGCTCATTTTCTTCCAGTAAGAATGAATTACAACATGGATCAATTTGCCTAGTTATATGTCAAAAGGATGTTCAGGTGGCATGGAGTGACGACCTCCATAGTCTCATACCGAGATCCAAGGTTCACTTCCAAATTCTACGCAGAGCCTACAAAGAGCTATGGGGATGAAGTTAAACTTCAATACTGCCCATCATCCTTAATTAGATGGACAGTCATAGAGGACTATTCTGACTTTAAAAGATATGTTCCATGCAAGTGTCTTGGATTTGGGAGGTAGTTGGGATCGCTCATACAATTAGTAGAGTTTGTGTATAATAATAGCCTCCAAGATACTACGGTATAGCTCTTTATAAAGCCTTCTAAGGTAGAAGGTGTAGATGATTGGTTCATTGGGACAAAGTTGGAGAAGACGGAATTTTTGGTCAAAAAATTATTGCAAAGAAGGTGCAAGTGGTTTATAAGATTAGAAACAGAATAAAATCAGCTCAAGATAGACAAAAAAGCTGTACAGACCAAAAAAGGAAATAAGTAGAGTTTGAAGTCAATGATAAAGTATTTCTGAAAGTTTCACAATAAAAAGGGTTCTCAGATTTAACTGAAAGGGAAAGCAGAAACTTCGATTTGTAGGTCCTTTCGAAGTTCTAGCCAAAATTGGGAATTTGGCATACAGCCTAGCATTGCCACCTGGGCTATTGGGAGTGCACATTGTATTACACGTGTCAATATTTAGAAAGTATGTATATGATCCCAAGCATTTGTTAAGCTATGACTCACTAGAAGTGCTGAAACATGTGACTTATGAAGAGGCTCCTATGGAAATTATTAAAAGGAAAGTGCATGCATTGAGAAATAAAGAAATTGCCTTACTTAAAATTTGATGGAAAAATCACGGAGTCGATAAGCTTCTTAGGATAAAGAAGAGGAGATAAAAACCAAGTATTCGGAGCTTTTCAACTGGATATGTAATTTCGAGGACGAAATTTTTTTAAGGAGGAAGGAATATAGCACTTTGTAAATGGAGTAGCCCATTTCCAGCTAGAACACTAAAGTCCATAAATTAGTGCATGTTTGATCTCATTAATTTACTTTATGGTTTACTACATGATCATTTTCAATCACACATTCATAAAATAAAATATTTTACACGTATACAAAAAAATTTTAAAAATTTTCCCTACTTTTTAATCACACATTCTCTTAAAAATACTATTAAAAACTCATTTTTTCCCAATTAATGAGAATCAAACATGCTCTTAAAGGGATAGTACAATCTACTTATTTATCTTGAAAGGTTTATTTTCTTAATTGTGCATTGTTAAATTTTTCACAAGTATTACGTAGACCAAATAATTAAGTATAGTGAAAGTTAATAAAAATATATGAATATTGGTCTCATTTTGTAGACCACGTTAAATTGCATAAATTGAGCTCAAAAAAGGTTATTTTGTACTAGATATACCAAGTCATTGTTGTTGAAATGAAACTTATTTTTTTTTCCCATCTAATATTATATTATTTTATAAATCTTTATGCATTGATTGGTGGATAAATAGATGTGCACGTTTGACTTGGCGAAGTAAGCAACTGGCTATCTTTTGTTATTTGATTTTTGTTAGTGTGTGGGTAAGTTAAAAGATTTAGAGGAACATGAGGTTATTTTTCTCAACCTCTATGCCACTTTCTTTCACCCACTTCTCAACCACATTCATCTTATAAATACGTTCATAAACAAGCGGTCATTTGAGGCTATTTATCAAGTCAAGGTCGTTTGTAGGAGATTAGAATCAAACTAATTTTTTTTTTTCCAATTTTCTTAGCGTGCAGTGGTTAAATTCTTAATTCTTCATGATATTTATATTATGATTACATTTAATAATTTAAAGCATTCAGGTTGATTTTATGTTAATCCGTCAAGATAGATCGTCAAATCCAATTGTGTAAATCTTCGAATGTGAGAATTCTAAAGAAATTGCTTGAGTTATCTGTTATCGTGACAAATTGCACTAAATCTAAGAATGTTTGATATGAAATGTTTGATTTATATTAAAATTATGTTTGACTTCAAATTTTATATGTTTATTATTGAGTGTTTTTGTTAATACTCGTCCTTACAAAAATTTCTAATTAGAACGGGACATGTTAGACAAGTGGACAATTATGGATTGCCAAGTAAAAATTTTAAGCATATTCATGGCTAAATTTTTATTTTAATAATATTTTCACGTTTAGTTTTTGCACGTTACTTGGTAGTTTTGACCTTCGTGTTTTATATTTTCCGTTTACATTAAATTTGAATTATGTTATTAAATATTATGTGAAGCAACTGCTTTAAATTTTTGAGTTGAATTATTGATTTCCCTTTTTAAGCTACAAGGATCAACTTTATTTGCTCAAAAAAAAAAAAAAGATTTATACGATCATTATATTCTGCTTAGATAACCCAAAAAAAAAATAAAAATTATAAATAAATAAACATATGAAAGGAAGAATTTGGTAAAATTTGGAATGTTACAGTTGAGACCCATCTTTTGAAGTAAACTAATGAGCTCGGATATTAATGAACTTTATAGAAGAGTTATCTATCGGAACAATACTCTTACTAATCTATTAACAAGTAGATCTACACCATGAGAATTAATAGTGTCTAGAGAAATTAGTACAAGAAGTGGTGGATACACTTCTTGATATTGAAATCCGCTAACCAATAAGGGGCGATCATAATAAAGTTTACAAGTCATTTTTAGATGTAATTGAAGACAGAGAGAAGACTTCGTGAGACTCTGCTTGGCAAAAGGTCGATTATTCAAGGCTTCTCATCATTGTCGTGGGTCCTTCCCCAAATTCTTTCCATTCCGCCAACGAATTTTCTATAATAATTCGTAAATCTAGATCGGCTAATTGTTTTCGAATAGCACTCACACCAATAGAAATTTCTCGATTGGGAAGTGTATCGAAGCCTTGGTTAGTAATTGAAAAAAAAACAGTTAGATGCTATATTTCCAAGATTGAATTTCATATTCGAATAAACCTCATAATTGTAAGAAAGTGGGTTTTTATTACTAATAATACCCTTGGACTGTACTCTTTAAACTAACTTCAAGAACTGAAAAGGTACAACAACTATAAAATTCAAATTCAAATATTCCCTCCATCAAAATAAAATGAAGAGGGATATCAAAATCTTGGAGCTCCCAAAACTTCCTTGTTATTATTAGGTTATACTCTCGCGCGGCAACGAATGCGCTCTGTGCCCGCGTCTATACATAATATGTACTTGTATAATAAAGATTAACAACAAAATGAGCAAAACTTGAGCTTAAAAATGCTTCACTGCCTTAAGCAGTTCAACTAAATAAATAGATTGTGTTCGTCCAATACTAATACAGCTATACATGAGGTTATAGTTGGTCTCCAAACAAGAAATTCTCGACAAATCAGTATTGCAAAATGTTTATCTTCCATTAACGAAACCTGTACATAGCAACTGGTGGAGCATGGATACCTTCAAGATCTCAAACAAAAAATCTCCCATATCAATAATCTTGGCATTCTGTTAGGCCATGCTACATATTGTAGAAAGAATATTGAAACTTCAAATATGAGAGCATGCATGCATCATCTGGAGTACGTTCTTGGAGGAACCATAGAAGAACGCCCTTTGTCCAGTGTTGGGAAGCTTTCTGATTTTCCTCTGTCCAGGTTAGGATTCCCTTCAGTGTTTTTTTCTCTATTAGCATTTTGGGCTAATTGACTGTCTTCATTATGACTGCTGTCTGATCCTCGACATCTTTCAGATGATTGACCTTCAGACCCTGGAGTATTGTCTGCAATTGGAATTGAATGACGAGGTTCTGATCCTTCACCTTCTTCAAAGTTCCAGATAGAGTGACCAGAACTTCTGCTTTTATCGAAATTCTGGAGCTCATTCGCAATCTGCGTACGTTTTTCCTTTAAGAAGTTCAGTCTATTTGTAAGCTTTGCCAGTGCAGAGGTTGTATAATTAGCAGCCTGTTATGCAACAGGTGAACTGAGTAAATTTTTTATGAAAACCTGTGGTTAAGAAGGAAGCTAGAAAGATACAGACTGAAAAAATCATGATGAAAATATTATTGCAGATCTTCTGGAATCCATTATCTAAGCTTCCCTCTTAATTCTGAGGGGATATTTTATTAATGGTGGAATCATTTCTTCAGTAAGTCACTAAGTCACGAAAAGATGGACACATGGATATAAACAAACAAGCCGGATGCATATCTTTTTTGCATAAAATGTGACTGCCCCTTTACAAATGGAATATTTTGGCAGCATAGTTGGGACTGTTCACAAGAACTAGACTGTTCAAATCTTGTTCTATCCTCTAATATGAATCAAACATGCACTTAGAGTTTATGGCAGAAACAATTCTACCATTAGGAGATATGTAATCCATCTACACATACGATGTCACGTTTCAAACTTCACAGCAACAAAAAGGAGATATGCCTTTATCAGAAGATTAGTACGGACAAAATATGAACACCTACCTCAGACTTTGTACCTGACTTTTTAGAACTCGATGTAGCAGGCCTGCTTATGCCCATTTCCACAGAGGATGTGGTCATAACACCAGTGATTTTTGAATTTCTTGCAATATCAGTTTGCTTGTTCGGAGGTAAATGTTTATTTGTTGAAGATGGAGAATCAAGTATCCCGTCTTTTTCACTGCTTGACTTGTCTGAAGAGGTGTCATTCTGTACACACAGAAAAAGAAGGTTGCAGAAAGTTATGTTTGTTGTATTGCATACACTGTCTAAAATTTCTATCCAAATGATGTTCCTAGCATAGACACAACAGCCTAATGTAAATGAATTGGGTAAGGAACATGTCAGATTTCATTGAGGAACCCTGTCCGTGTCTATTTAGATCCAAAGTTGAGTTCCAAACTCATCAAGGCTAAGCATACCATGTTTAACCATCACCTTCACATAGGGATGCAAGCAAGCCAAATCTGCTAGCGAGCTTTTTGAGTTCAGTTTGATCCTTGACTTGAGCTTCAGTTGGCTCGAATACTCCATAGAGCCAAGCTCAAGCTCCACAATAACTAGATGTAAGCTTGCAATCACTTGGTTCATGTTTTATTATGACATTACATATAATATCTCATTAGAGTTAATTATTAGTTATTTTAAGTGGCAAAGATAATAATACAGGCTTGAGATAAAAGCTCAAGTCACACTCAAATATGCTTGGTCTTGAGCTCGAACTCCAATTTTGATGTTCAAACCAAGCTTAAGCCCATAAAGTTAAGCTCAATAAAGCTTGAGCCTTCTTTATTCTGCTCAAGCTCAAAATTTTGTTAGTGCTAGGCTCAGGTTGGTTCTTTCATATTCAAAAAGAAGGTGAGAAAAACAACAAAAAAAAAAATAATGAAGTGGTTGAAGAGTAATAACCACGATGTATGTCCCCAACATATCTTAAAAACTTCCGTCAACTACATTCTGAAGTTCAACTAATCGAGCTTCTGAAAAGTCAAGGTATGCTAGCATTAATGCTGTGCCACTGAGAAAATCTGTACCTTACTTCGTGCGGACTTCTCAAGAGTACTTGAGATGGATATGTCCCCAACATCAATATGTTTATCCTTCCTGCATGCAAAATGATAGAAGGACAAAAGAAATGTAATATACAAAAAAGTACCGAACTCACCAAGCTATTTAAATAAATCAATTTCTAAGCACCTATTAGTTTTCACATAGTTTCAACTGAATAAGTGCGAAAAATTTATGTTTCTCGTGATAAATAACAAACACTGAAGGAAGCTTTGGCCATAAAAATGATATGGCTTCTTCTTGCCTTTCTCTTTTCTATTTAAAGAAGTTGGGGCAGGGTGGCAACAGCCGAGTGAGTGAGAAGGACAAGTTAGGGCAAGAAAGTAGAGAACATGACGTCTTGTACAGGTTATCAAGGACAGCATAAACCAAGACTGAAAACTAGAAGAAGCTTACGACTTTTTCTTAAGGTTTGGACTTTGTAGAAGTTGATTGTCTGTATCATGCTGAAACCTGGAATTCTGGTCCTTCTGTTGATTTATCTGCACTTGAAGATCATCAGCCTTCTGTTTTAACTTAGAAACATCTGTCTCCTCTCGAGCAATTTCTTCCAATTTTGCCTTCGTCTGTATCCGCCTTGGAGTTAATATTCACAGCATACTATAAAATAACATGCCAAACTTAATGAGGCAATCTCACCTTCTCGTCAATAGTGGATGGAATAAATAGGGGCAATTGGGATATTCTAAGTCCAGCTTCTAGTGCTGCCCTCAAATCCCTCTCCTTCTGTAACTGCTCCTGAAGTCTTGACACCTAAAAGTAATTGCCTCTCGTTGTTAATTGGAAAAGTTGCTAATAAAGGATTTTGTTGCAGACAGGAAAGAAAAGGAAAAAGGGAGGGGAAATGATGCATTTAAAAATGTTTACCTGCACCAATTTTTATCCAGACTACTGACAAATACAAATACAAGAATAGTCTATTGAAAGAGATCCCTTGTAATGACTCATCCCTTGTACTGACTCAAATGAATAATTTCTGACATGACAGCTGCACGTCATTTTGCTAAAACTCCAAAGGTGGTAGGAAGTGTATCTGTGTTTCCATGTCTAGTGTTTCTTTTAAATAAGAAATTTTATGAATGAACATGTACAATCATAGATCTACTTTATCTCGGCTAGAGGCCAAGTGACTTATATTTAACAGCAAGATCTGAGCTTCACTTTATAACATATAGATATTCTAGGCCTGTCTACGTCATGGGAGGAGGAGAGCGGGGGGGGGGGGGGGGGGGGGG